ATGGGCTTGCGTATATAAAAAAATCAAAGATTAGGTACTTATTTAGTAAAAAACAGGACTTATTTGAACGAAATGTACTAGTTTAAGGTTATTATACATAATATATACTTTTTTTGTGGTTATTTGTACACAATTATGGATGATTTTTTAGAACATATAGTTTTAATGTTCAAAATGGACAAATTTTTCTTGTTTAATGTTTTTTTCTTATTGTATATACTGTTTTTAATTGAGTTGATGTAATAAACTTTATATTAATTTGATAGTGAAAATATATGTATTGAAAAGATAAGTAATGTCACCTTCTTTTTAGTAATGAATTTTACCTGCATACTATATTATAAAATTGTTAGGTATATTAGTAAAGATTAAGCATTGAACATAATTATGTTGTTTGGTAACTGTAATTTTTAAATTAAAAAAAACATTTTAAGAATCCATTAAGTGGCTTCGGTTGTTAAAGGTAATGTTACTTTTTCTCGAGGTTTTATGATCAAACAGTTATGTTTTTAGAGTATGCATACATTGTCAGTGGTTAAGAAATAAGAAAGATTATAAACATATACTACTCTTATAATCACCCCATACTATTAAACAATATTTTAACGATTTTAGTTTTATTATTATATTGTTTTATGGTTAAAATATGTTACAAGATCTTGTAATCACCTCATACTATTAAAAATATAAGATAAAGTATACAAATGGTCCCTCAACTATATGATATTGCTTTATTGAGTCCTTTGACTATTAAAAGTTACAAAATTATCCTTTGACTATAGGGTGTCGCTTCGTTGAGTCCCCCGACTATTAAAAGTTACAAAATGGTCATTTAACTATTCTTATGTTCCAAACTCGTCATTTTCTGTTAAAAAAATGACGGCAATATGAGTTGAGCGTTAACATGTTGACTGAGATATTTTTAAATCTGATCCCAAAATCTCAAACAACTATCATATCTCAGTCAGCATGTTAACGTCCAACTTAGACGACCGTCAATTTTTTATCGAAAAAGGATGAGTTTGGAACATATGAATAGTTGGGTTACCATTTTGTAACTTTTAATGGTCAAGGGGCTTAACAAAGTAACATCATATAGTTAGAGGATCGTTTTGTAGCTTTTAATAGTTATAGGATTTAATAAAATAACACCCTATAGTTATATGACATTTGTGTATTTTACCCTAAAATATACTATTATTGGGTTCACAAAACAACTTTAGACTAGTGAGCTACTAATGAAAGGGAAGGATTTACGTGATGTCGCTCAATTAATAATTTGAATATCTCATCCTTTTTAACGACATTTAGTTAGAAAATATTTTATTTCAAATATACTTTTTTTTTAAAAAAAAGTAATAAAGATTTTATAAAATTTAATTAAATGATCATTACTTAACTTATCCAACATTTTTTTTTTCTGAAAATTTTATATAAATTACATTTAATAGGAAAATTTTATTTTCAATAAATTAAAAACTTTCAGTACTTTATCAAATACACGTGTACTTAGGGAATTTATGATAATATTCATGTAAAGAAAATAATAATATGAACATACTATTATTATTTTAAAGTTGTCTTTAGACAGGTAAGATATCACTCCTAGATATGCCTTTTTCGTTTTTATTTATTTATTATTTTGAGGTAATTAATTAATTAATTAATTAACTGTTGAGATTTAGCAATTTTCGGAGCATATATAGCAACTACTTTTTATCCACACCTTTTATATAATATATTCATTTCATATGATTGTGGCCTTCAGCTACACACATCATCCCCACAAATTTTCAATAATCTGAAGGCATATCATTATTATTTATAAAAATTAATTATTAAATATGTAAACTATCTAATAAATTTAATATTTTATAAGTATACTAATTATAATTATGATGTTCGTCGAGTTTTAATTCGATTAGTATAATAATTATAATTATAATTATAATATTCAAAAGATATAGATTCAATAATATTTAAACGTTTACTATCTTTAGTTTACTCTCAGGTGCGTTTGGTTCACGAAATGTAATATTACCAGTGGGAATAAAAGATTACCAGGGAATAAGATTACTGGGAATGTTGTATTTTGTGTTTGGTTGGTTTAGCAGGAATGTAAGATTATCGTGTTTGGTTAAAGGAATAAAAGATTATTGGAATGTATATTTGACCAAATTGTCCTTATTATATATTTGTATAATATTACAAATTGTAAAATATTTATATATTTTCTTTAAAAAATTAAATTCATAATATTTATATAAATATTTTTACAAAATTAAAATTATATAAAAGGTTTAATGAAAGGGTAAATTTTTTTTAATCCCTGAACTTCATATAAAATTTTAATTATAGATTTTTTTTGTAAATCTAAAATAATTTAAGGATAAATTTGTAATTTAACCTTCGTAGAATTTTTATTATTCAATGATAGAAGAATGATATTTTTGAAAAAAAAATAAAAATTTAAGGTCATTTTAGTCCAAAATGCCGGTAATGTTACAATACCTAAAGGAAGGGAGGTAATGACATTCCCGGTAATATACCCCAAAAAATCACTATTGGTAATAAAACATTACCGGGAATGAGATTCCCGGCCAACCAAACATGGGAATGTGGGATTGCCATCCTATGAGAATCTCACAATCCTTGAACCAAACTCCCCCTCACAGGTAAGCTGTTTAATTTTTTATTGACGACGACATCAATTTTAATATTGGCTGCTGATCGTCGGTATTTTTTATTATCCTTTTATTTTCTCTTTTTTCCCTAATTAGTCTGTCTGTATAACATGTTTTTCGACTGTTGTTTTCACTTATCTTTTTTAAGGGTTGATTAGACATCGTCACGACTGATCAAGATGATGTTTATCTGTTATGTTGTTGATCTTCTCTGCTTGGACCCTTGAATTAGATTCGGATATCTGTTATGCGTTCATGGATAGCTTTGCACTTCGCTCGAGTCTGGTTTGCGGTTAATCGACGATCTTTCAATAGCTTGATATCTTTTTGTGTTTCGCTTACCGATGTAATCAAATATGTTTGTATCTATCTTTGATCCAGTTTTATTGGTTAGATTTTAATTTTTTGTTGTATGGCCCTTACATGATTTAAGTTGTTAGTTTTGTTTCAATAGTTATAGGAAATTGTCCTAATTATGTACTTAATTTATGATTATGATCATAAATATTTATTGTAATTTAGGATATTTTTTATTTTGAATAAAAATAGTGATTTCTTTAAAAAAACCTATTATTTTTAAATTCAAAAAACTAAATTCTTTAAATAATATATGATAAAATAAACATAATTATATTATTAAATCCGACCATCAATTCATTGAAATATTATGTACAAAAATTTAAAATTTATAATAAAAAGTTGAAAACAAATACCTTTTATTCAAACGAACGTTGTTGATTCAAAAGTCCAAATTGTCCATATCTTCAACCCTATTTCCGATGATCTTCTGAGGGCAAAGTTGTCTTTAAAAGAGCTGACAAAATGGAGAAAATTGAGGCCAAAGAAAAAGTCAGTCCACAAATCTTTACAAAAAAGATAAAAATCTTTCCTTTCTTCTCTGTATGAAATTCTATGGTTTCTCAAAACATAATTAATGGAGAAATTAATGCGCTCTTATTCTCTACTCTTTGATTTAATCCTTTTTTAAATTGAATAATGATTCTCGTTAATTACTCTGTTGAGGGGCAATTCGAAAATTATTAAAATTAATTAATCATCTGTTAATGGTAATAAAATAGTATTTAAATGCTGTGATTGACATTTCATTTGTTTATTTTCAATGTACATTGAATCAAGCTTTACCACGTCTGCTAATTTTGTTAACAAAATCTTTGTTATAAAGGAACCGATTAAGTGGCATCTACATGCACCGATTATTTATTAATTATTTTTCGCTTTTGATTTTTAATATATAAATTAATTAAAAAAATCATATTCTATGTATAAAATTTATATACAAGTAACTATTTTTTTTAGTAAAACTTATTTAACTTTTCAGAGGCTAATAGTTAAGATTAATTATGACCTGTACATAGTATTATTTTTTAGAAGTGGTTTTAATAATATTTTCTTTTGAAAAAAATGGTTTAAAATTTAATAATATAATAATATTATTATTATTTAATTAATCTGAGATAAATATAAGACAATATTTGTTCAAAGATAATTCAAAATCATTTGACATTGAATGATCATACCCTTAACATTCATGGGGCTCGAACTAATACTCAATGAATAACAACAATTCATTTACCACTGAGTCCGCTTAGTTCGTGCAATATCTAATAATATTAATAGTTTTTAAGAAATAAATAGTCATTCGAATATGACATTTTAAAATTATTTTTATCTAAAAGATAATATGATAAGATATAAAATATTCAAATCTATAAATAATTTATGAATTATATAATTGAATTTTAATTAAAAATTTATAAATTATAGAATAAACATTTTAAAATAACAAAATTATAATTTAACTCTAAAAGTATATTTTAAATTTTAAATTTCAAATTTTTAACTTTTAGAACTCATTAAGTGACTCAATGATGTGTCCGTAAAGTGTATGTTGTCAATGATCAAAAAGATTTTGAACGTATGTTACCATGTAACAATCTCAGATTAGTAATTTTTTTAAATTTTATATTTATATTAAAAAATATTTTCAGATATATATATTTTATTAATTTTAATTACAACTTAAAAATATTTTTCACCCAAAACACTTTCTATAATTAATGTTGATATTAAGTCGGTGATCAAGAATTACTAATACTAATTGGTTATTGAAGCATGATGAGGATGATTTCCATCATTTAATTTTTTAACAAATTAATACTAGCCGTCCGATCAAGTTTTAACTGTCCAATCAGAATGATTTATTGACCTTTCCCGCCTGGGTAAGGTCATTTTTATTTCCTCACCAAACATTTCTGCTGTCACAAATTTCTCTCTTTTCTTTTCTTTTTCTTTTATTTTCACTGCACATTCCTTATATTTTCCCTCCCACTTTCCACATTATGTAGCCGTCTCTTCTTACACCCCTCTCAATTCTTTCTTCTTCTTCTTTTTCTCAAACTTGCTTTGCAAATTGTATTCATTTGAGTATTCATCAGAGCAAGTAAAGAGTGAATTAGATATCCAGTTCAAAGCTAGAAATGGTGAGAATTTCTGTCTCTTTTGACTTCACTCTTTCCGCAGAAGTTAATTTTGCAGTTTTGAATTATGGGTATTCGTTTCTTGTTTTTGGTGATTGATTTTACTTGACTATCAGTGATAAAAGGTCTGTTTGGTTTCCAGGAAAATTTAGATAAATTCAAAGAAATAGAATATTTTTTTTTCAATCTCGTGTTTATTGCAGCTATGATATACTCAATGGAAAACAGCCTGTAAACCCTCTTGGTTAATATAGTTTTGTTGAAACTTCCAATCCTGTTCATGAATTCAACTACTTTACTGTCGCTGTTTGGAATTTAGAATCTTGAATGATGTAGTTCATTGAAATTTGATTGAATTTTACTTCTAATTGGAACATTCGCATTAAAAGTTGGATCTTAACTGTTGTGTGTTAACTTTACTATTGTGTTTCCGTTTATATGAACTTGGAATTAACTGTTATTATTTCAAGAATTTTAGAACATTATTTCAAGGCTTATTTGATGGTAATGAATTGAATTTGGTATTGTAGGTGGGTTGTGGCGTGTACATTAAGAAGAAAACAGATTGGCTTAGTACCCTTCTGGAAAGTGAGTTCTTTGGTCCTTGCTTTGATCATCAAGACCTAAGAAAAAATGAAAAAAATGTCTTTTGCATCAACTGTTGTCTCGAGTTTTGCCGGCATTGTAAGGATCATATCCAGCACCGGTCACTTCAGATCTGCAAATACGTATATCAAGACGTTGTTCGCCTTCAAGAAATGCAGAAGCATCTCGACTGCTCCAAAATTCAGGTTTTCCATATGTTCACTACTCTTTCGCTTTGAAGCATTCATATGTTCGGTTACCAATCAATGTAATTCTTTAGAGTATATTAGTATGTTAAGTAAAATTGAAGAATCTGTGTAACATAGGGAAATATTGTTATTAATTTCTTCCAATTCTTACTGATATATGCATAGATGAATATGAATCGGTGATTATCGATCCTCTAAATTATATTATATAATCATAGATATATGCAAACACCAAGATTTGAAATCAAAGAGAGATTTTCATATCATTATGTTTGTAGGATCATACTGAATTGCTTTCTAATTATTTTCCATTCACATTTTTAACTTATAATTTACTTAAGTGATTGCTTTGATTGGCTTTTACTTTTTCACTTTTGATTAACTTTAGTCGTTATTGGAATGATCATTATGTACAATTTTATTTACTGAAATTTTTTAATTATCTTTTAGACATACAAAATCAATGGTGAAAAAGCTGTACATTTGAATCCAAGGCCTCAAGCTAAAGATGCCAAGCCATCAACGAAATCGAAAGCCGGTGCTGCCTGTGAAGCTTGTAGAAGATACCTTCAAGACCCACCTAATCGTTTTTGTTCCATTGCATGCAAGGTAAACGAGTTCATGTCGGGTTTCATTCTGAAAACTCAAGCTTACTACTTGAATTTCCTCTTTTGCAATGTAAACCATAATCTAATCAATGCTTTCAGGTATTGGCTGTTGATGTGAAGCCTAAAGGCCAAAGCCATAAAATGGATTTACAAATGCAAGAATTTCGTGATGTTTCATGGAAAGACAATCAGAATTCGGAAGCAAGTTCGGAGGAAAAGCAGTCTTCACTCTCGTCGACAGATCTTTCAGAAGAGGAGACAAAAACATGGGTGCTCAAAAGTTTAAGGCCTCGGAAACAATTGAACAAAAGGAAAGGAACTCCTCAGAGGGCTCCCCTCAGTTAATACTCTTAACAAAGGTACATAAGAAGACAATAAAAGAACCCATAGCTAAAAACAGTTGATAAAATGAATGCTCTACATTGCAATGGAGTTTGAAGAAAGTGCAGTCACTCTTGAAGATTAGTTCTCATTTTGGAATTTAGTTGGTGTTAGTTGAGAGGGAAGTCCCCACCATTGCCATGATCTGAGAAAGTGCATTAATTTTCTTGAGATTGTACAGCATAATAGAAAGAAAAAAAGATGGTATATTTGATGATAAGCCAGCAGTGTTTTAAAATGGATTTTGAGCTTTGTATCTACCCCGACAGATTTGATTGGATCTATTAATGATTTTGTTTCTCTTTCGGTGGAATTTTATTTTCATGGTTCAATAGGATATTCTTGATTACAACCCCAAACATTTTTTCTTTTATACTTGAAATTATCATATTCATTAACAGTTCAATAGGAGATTCCTATGATTACTCTGGGTCTGGGGCCTTCAGCTTTGATGGCAATGTTTCTAATTGAGTTGACATGAATTAATTAATGGAGCGGGTTGTTCTCAATAGGAAGCTTTGTCAGTAATTGTATGCTATTTTCGTCTGATCTTTGGTGACTGTGTGATATTGGGACCCTTGATCTCCATATTTTATGGCAAGTTGGCATCAATGTCGTGTTTGATTTCTCTTCTTTTTCCCATGTGAAATGTGGCAGACAGAAAGAGCCGTAAAATTTTAAGGAGAAAATAAAGGATGTGTCTGAAATATGGCTAGAATCCAACGACCAAACAAGCTAATATGTTGAACTTAAAAACTTTTAACCCATTTTTGCTGGGAATTGCCTGCCACAAATTCTAAAACCCTATTCCAAGGACATATATTAATATTAGAAAAAGTTAAAAAGATGATTCAATTTGAATCAAGTAATTGCAGATGGAAGTTGCCTAATGTGGAGGGGACGTATAAGATACTACATTCTTAATATACGATTAAGAAAAAAAATATTAAAAATATTAATATTTTTAATATTTCTGGTAAAGCGTTACTTAGAACATTATTTTTTTACCAAAATGTTAATATTGAGCGCTACCTAAAATGTTTAACATTTTCGGTAAAATGTTACCTAAAACATTATTTTTTCTACAGAAAATATTAATATTGAGAGTGCTTAAAATATTATTTTTTCTATCGAAAATTAGATAACGAAATTAATATTTCAGATAAAAAAATAATGTTTTAAATAACAATTCATCAAAAATGTTAAAGAATTAATATTTTCGATAATAACTTTTTTTAATCACATATTAAGGCTGCTGAATATCCGAACTACCTTAGAGGGATAGAGAGTTTCAGTCAATGAATTTAATGTGTAATCTAATACGAAATGGAAATTAAGAGTAACAGTGATAAATATTCGCTGTTGTCTTTACTAGGCGACGGCGTGCAATGCATTGTTTGGTAATTCAGATATTCAGCTTTAAAGATATGTTTTCTTTTCTTACTCATTTTCTTATGAAGTAAGTGCATAACGTAGATTAGTTGAGTGTGGAGTTGAAGCTAATGTGGTTATGGACGTTGTGGGAGTAGTGGCTGGGGACTGAGGAGGGTGACAGCATTTTTATATTCTGAGTGTAGCCTCACGCGTGCATCCGTGTGCATGCATCTAAACCGTTAATTTTTTGGTTTGAATCTCATGTTTCTCTCCAACATTCTAAGTAGGGCTGTAAATGAGACGAGACAAATCGCGAGCTACTCAAGATTACTCGATCAAGGCTCGATAAATACTCTGATCGAATGGACTCGACTCGAGCTCGAGCTCGATCCAAGTTTTTAACGAGCTGAAACGAGCTACTTGATATTCGACTCGAAAAGCTCGTGAGCAACTCGAAAATATAATATATTCAGATTTTATTTTTTAAATAAATTATTAATAATATTAACATTTATGTATTGATTTTTTTTAAAATACAATAATATTTTCGTGTATTTAAGGTTCATGTTCGAGTTCGAGTTTGAGGTTTTAATCGAGTTAAGTTTAAGATTTTTTTCATTTCGAGCCTTTTCGAGCTGCTTACGAGCTTCAGTTCGGGATTTCGAGTTTGAGTCGAGTTTGAAAATTTTAAACTCACGAATTTTCGAGTCGAGCTTCATTTCAAAGTTTTCGAGTCGAGTCGAACTCAGAAATACTCGAGCTCGACACGGCTCGTTTACACCCCTACTTCTAAGTGTAACTTGGAAGGCACCAAAAACGCATAGTGACTAAATGATTTCATCAACGTATCAGCGACTAGATATTTAGTAGGGTTAAAAGTTAAAATTGTGATATTTATAAATAGGACAAATTAAATTGGAAAGATAACTGTCATAAATTTATTACTTTTAAATCATTCATTCACTAGTGATAATTTTTTTATACAAATAGTAATTTTATTATTTATATATATATTTATGTCCGAGACATTGGAGCAAATGTCTGTTAAAGAGGTTCTATGCAAAGTGGTTCTATGCAGAGTGGTGCTTGCTAAGGCCATCAGACTTGGCCCATTACTTGGAAAATATTATGGAGCCCGTTCACATTGGTCGTGCAGAAAAGAAAAGTGGCATCATATCCGAAGTTGATCACAGGAGTTCGGTAATTATGGCAAGAGACAACAAATCAATAGAGATTGTGAAGGATTCTTACCATATCCAGTGTGAACGCTTATCAAAGGAAAGAATTCTACTAATTGATGTAATTAGGTACGATGAGATTGAGTTTCCTTAGTTAAGAGAATATCTTGTAGATATAATCCCTTAATATGGGGGATTTAGGAGATTGTATTCGATCTAGGCCGCTGATGTAAATCGATCCTAGCCATTGATTAAGAGATAGCTCAACTATAAATAGAGAGCCTCTCCTCATCATTTGTATTCATCCAATCATTCATTCATTCTCTTAGGAGAGAGTAATAAAACTCTGAGCCATTTACTCTAGTTCTTGTGTTCTTTGTTCTTTATTCTCTTTGTTCTTTATTCTCTTTGTTCTTGTTGCCTCTCTTGGTGGCTAGGAGTAGTCACACTTGTGTTTGCACTTCCATACCATAGTCCAACCTTGGTGGGTTGGAGTAGCCACGTTGGTGTTAAAGCTTCCGCATCCTAGAAGCCTTGAGGGCTTGGTTCCATCCTTGGTGAGTTTGCATGCTCACTAGGTTTGGGTAAGGCTTACTTAGTCGTATAGAATACCTAGAAGTGTCAAGAAGCATCTAAGGGTGCAAGACCCGTCAGACATTAACTCTGATATTGGACAGTTTGGGCTTGAAAATTTTGAGGGTGTTACAAGTGGTATATATATATTTATAACCATAAACGTAAACTAAACGCATAATTAAGATATATTTCTATAAACCATTGACACAATAAACTAGAAAATTGAAATTATACAAAGATAGATACAAACTAATTTGACTGCATTGACAAATGAACCACAATAAGAGATCAAACTATTAAAATACTACCGACAATCATAAATCAGAGTTGAGCATCATGAGAAAATTATCTCCGAACGTAAAATGCAATCCACATGTATGGACACAAACTTTTATGTTAGAGGTATCGAACTTAAAAAAATTTAAGGGGAGACAAGCTTATAAAATTTTAGAGTGGCAAAAAACATATTTTAAATAGAAAATATCTAAAATATATAGAAATTTGAAAATTTTAGGGGGTGACTCCCCCGCCTAGGTCCATCCCTGGCGATCCAAATTCAATCCGATGGTCAAAGCATGGAAGATCAACAAATTAACAAATAAGTGTCATCTTGATCAATCAATGTAACGTCAAATTCAACTACGAAAAAATTAAATGAAAAGAACAATCAAACAACCAATAAAGAAGATAAAAAATATGTCAAAATGAAGAGAAACGTACAATAAAAACAGAGAAAAAAATATCATAACAACATAATTATTGAAAACTAAATAAAGCAAATGAAAAAAAATAATATATAAAAAATGAAAAAAAAATTGACAATAAACAATTAGTACTAAAATTAATCAGCACCAAACTTAATATTTTGATGATTTGTCAAATAAAGAAAAAAAAGTGCAAAGGACGATTTCATAGGTCATAATTTATGAATGGTCTCTTCATCAAACTAATATTAATAATATAGTTCTACAAGATTCTCTCATAGAGGATGTTTTTATGATCCAACTTCCTAATTTTATTAGTCATATTGAACTTATTCAACATCTATAAACTCCACCAAGCCCACTATGATCTAAAACAAGCCCTCTATTCATTCTTCATTATAATCACAATCTCATTTATCTATTTGTGTATGTTAGATGTTATTATCAACATCACTGGACCAAATTCTAGTATACCAAATATATCAATTATATATATATAAAGTATTTTCCTTTTTAGATTTTATCGAACATTTATTCAGTTAGTTAATTTGTTCATCTTTTTTTTCTTATATTATCTTAAGTCAATGCTCATTAAGAGCACTCTCATTCCTTCTCTTAAAGTAAGATTAGATAGACCTAGTCGTGTGAAAAAGGGTGTTGAATATATTTCTATTATGGAATCATATACTTTGCCTTGTCCAGCTGCTTCAAAGGTTGACTGTGGTAAGCAACCAAATTTGGTAGAAGGCTCCTCAAGTGCTGCTGATAGTGCACAAGGTAATGAGGAGGTAGAAGGCATGGTTCCTATTGAAAATAATGGATTGAGTCCATTATCGTTGACCGAATCTGGTCAAATTGTTGAAAATACAAGTACGAAGGTGGTGGTCAAGAATCCTTCAACAGGAAATATGTCCAATAAAACTTTAGTTTTGGAGGATACTGAATATTCCAATACTCTTGTTACAATGGTTAAAATTGGTAAAGATGGTCCATATATTTTAAAAAATCGTTTGTCTAAGTGTGGTATACATGGAAAATACGAGGTTACGAACCCGATTCAGTCAAAGCGAACAAGACTCACACATACTTCAACAAATGATGCTGGGATGAGCAGCTCTAAAAACTCTTTGGTGGTGGTTGAGACTCAACCCTGTGTGATCAATGATTGTCTTGTGTTGGAACTGTCGTGGTCTAAACAACGCTACGATAGTTCGTGCGTTAGGCCGATATATCGGTCTTAAAAGTGCTAATGTTGTTTTTTAAGCGAGACTCGAATAAAGCAAAACAAGAGTAATTATATACGGTGTAAGCTTGATATGGATAATTGTTTCGTTGTAGACAAAAGCAATTATTGTACTGGGCTAATGCTCTTGTGGAATAATAATATTAATGTCTCGATTTTATCGTACTCTCGTTTTCATATTGATTATATTATTGATGATGGCAATAAGAAATTTAATTTCTCAGGTTTATATGCAAGTCACCATGCTAATCTCAAGAGTGAGGTTTGGTCCACTATTCATTCTTTAAGAAATGCTTCTAATTTTCCATGGCTATTGGGTGGGGATCTTAATGTAATCCTTCATGATTATGAAAAACAATGTGGGCGAAGGAAAGCAAGAGTTCAAATGGATGAGTTTCGTATGGTGCTTGCACATAATGGTTTATTTGATGTTAAGCCTGCTTGAGGTTGGTTTATGTGGCATTTTGGAGGGTCGGAGAGTCATGCTATTAAGGTACGTATTGATCGTTTTGTTGCTTCCCAAAGTTGGCTACATGCATACCCAAATAGTAAGGTATTTATTGAGTTTGCTGAAACTTCCGATCATTGTTACTTATTAATGGATACTGCTTGGTTTCAACCTTCAACCAGGGATCGATGTGATGATTATTTTCGTTTTGAACAATGTTGGGCTTCTGAGGAAGCTTGTAGAATGTTAGTGAAGGATGCTTGGGACCAACCTTATTCTGATATTTTGGTTAAAATTGTTGAGGTTGGGTTTAAACATAGTTCATGGCAAAAGGTTCGATTGGCTACCTCTCATGGCAGAATTCAAGCTCTTCGGAATAAAATTAATTCTTCTCTTAGCCGTCATACTTCGGAGGCAGAATTGCATAACCTCAAAAGATATAAAGAGGAATTACATCTTATGCTTAATAAGGAGGAGGTGTATTAGATGCAACGGTCTTGAGTTCAATGATTGGCTAATGAAGATCGGAATACTTCTTATTTTCATGCTTGTGCTAATGGTCATCGCAAGAAAAATTTTGTTCGGGGTTTATTGGATAAAAATGGCATATAGAAAGAAGGTAAGCAGAATATTATGTATATTGCGATAAACTATTTTCAGGATTTATTTGCTTATGTGAGTATTGTCTCTGATGAATATGTTATTGATGCTATTGATCCGGTTATTACTGATGAAATGAATTGTGTGCTTTGTGCAAAATTTACTACTGATGAAATCATTGCAGCTTTTCGTGATATTCATCCGCGGAAGGGACCTGTTATTGATGGTCTTCCGGTGAGTTTTTATCGATTACATTGGGATATTATTGGGGCTGATGTGGTCTATTTGTGCTTATAATTGTTATATGGTTCGTTAGACATGAGTTTGGTTAATAAGACGATAATTGTTCTTATTCCAAAAATATATGATCCTCAACAGATGAAGCATATTTGCCCAATCAGTCTTTGTACTGTTGTTCATAAAATTGTGTCCAAGGTTTTGGTTTGACGGCTTAAAGGGCTTATGGCCAGTTGCATTCATGAAACACAAGCTGTATTTCTTCATGGACACCAAATCTCGGATAACATATTGGTGGCACATGAGCTTATTCATTATATGAACTCTTTAAAAAATGGTCCGAATAACGGTGATGCTATTAAATTGGATATGGAGAAGGCATACGATAGAGTGAAATGGCATTTTCTGAGAAATGTTATGTTGAAGCTAGGGTTTTGTGTTATGAGATGTGTGGAAACCATCTCTTTCTCTGTTCGTATCAATGATAGTCTCACTAAGGAGTTTAGGCCAAATCGAGGGTTACGACAAGGCGATCTTTTATCTCCATTTTTATTTCTTTTCTGCACTCAGGGGTTATCCGCTATACTTAACCGTTTACAAGCTCAAAGGAAGATTCGTGGAATGGGGGCAAGTCAGAATGGGGGCAAGTCAGAATGGGCATAAGGTAACTCATTTATTTTTTGTTGATGATAACCTTATTTTCATTAAGAACTCTTTACATGAGGCTTCTATTATTTGCGATCTCTGGGTGCTTGTGAAACTGCTTCTGGTCAAAAGGCGAATCTTAAGAAATCATCATTATATTTTAGTCCAAGTACGAGACAAAAATGTCGTGATCAGATTTCGAGTATCTTGGGTATTGGCAAAGTGTCTGATTTGGGACACTACCTTGGTATGCCTCTTCACATTGGAAAGAATAAGACAAATACATTTGGATATTTGAAAGAAAATGTTTCTAACAGAATTGACGGGTGGATGAAACATCTACTTTCATTTGGAGGTCGTGAGGTATTTCTTAAATCGGTAGCTCAAGCTCTTCCACAATATATTATGTCTTGCTATCGGCTTCTTGATTGTTTAATTCAGGATTTGGTGAGTAATATGAGGCGCTACCAGTGGTCAGGTGATGCTAATAAGCGTGGTTGGCCAATGGTTTCTTGGAAAATAATGTGCAAACCCAAAAGTGAAGGTGGGATGGGATTTCGGGACTCGCATAGTTTCAATTTGGCTTTATTAGGCAAACATTTATGGCGCTTTATTAAAGATCCAGAGAGTTTGGTGGCTCGAGTATTTCGTACTAAATATTTTCCCCACGATGATCTGTTGAATGCTACTCTAAATGATAGAAGTTTTTAAGCTTGAAAGGTTTATACCATACAATGCAAGAGATGCGATGTGCTCTTTTTTGGCGTATTAGTATACGAAGTAATAAACGAGTTCACAATGATATCTGGGGTGGTTCAAAAGCTGTTTCTCTCACATGGAGTTATTCTGACTCTGATCTTAATCCTCTTTATTGTTCTGATCTTATGATTGATGGTTCTAATGTTTGGAATGAATCTTTGATTAATAGGTTATTTTCTAAGGAATATGCTATGCAAATTCTTTCAGTTCCTATTGCACCTTGTGTCGAAGATGTAATTGTTTGGGCTAACCATGATTCGGGTATTTACTCAGTTAGATCTGGTTATTGGTGGTTACAGAAACGACATCATGATAATGAAAGGAAGTCTAAGTTGTTGTTAGTTATGATTAAATTGAAAATTCTTTCTAAGATACGTGTGCTTGCTTGGACGGATGCACGGAATGCATTACCTGTTGGTGTTGGTGATGGAATTTGTCATGTGTTCTAATGGGGAGGAGACGATTATACATGCCATGAGGGACTGTCCTGTAACTTTGGATGCTTTAAGTCTAGCAGATCTACCTCATTCTATATTTTTGAGTACTACGGATAGTCCTTTATTATGGATGGAGGAAGTATTCTCCATTTTAGGCATTGATGCTTTTGCTGGTTTTTTGATAATTATGTGGAATGTATGGAATAATCGAAACTCCTTTGTTCATTCTGACAGGTTGCAAATGGCGTGGCTTTTGGTGACTAATGCAAAGATACTACATCAAGACTATTTAAGGTCTATTAGTATGGGGATGAATAAACAACGGTCTACAAATTATGTTATACGATGGACTCCACCTTTGGAGGGGGTTATCAAAGTGAATGTTGATGGTGCCTTTGTTGCGGAGCGCTGACTGTATGCAATTGGAGTTGTTGCTCGTGATAAGTGTGGATAGGTTTGTGGTGGTTTGGCCAGTCTTCTATTGGATGCTTTGAGGTGGGCTTTGCAGAACTATCTGCTTTACTCGCTGGTCTTAGAATGGCTTGTGATATGAGATGGTCTGATGTTCAGTTTGAAACTGATTCCTTGATGCTCGTCCATAAGATTACACGAACTTTTACAGACATTTCCATTCTCGGGGTGTATGTTTAAGAGGCTCGTACTATTTTTCAGGATCATCCTCGTTTTTGTATTTTGTATACTCCTAGAGAATTAATCAGGTTGCTCACGCATTAGCCAGTTGGGCTTTAAATTCGGGTGGTTCTTTGTTTTTTGAGTCGGTTTGTCCCAATATAATTGCTCAGAATGTTAAAAACGATGTCATTGATCTTTGATTAATATATTTTGGGCACTCTTTTCCCCTTACAAGGTTTAGAAGGGGTTTTTAATGAGGCCCATAAATTTCAAAAAAAAAAAAAGCAGGATTAGATATAGGATTACAATTGATAGAGCTTATATGAGCTCTTTAGTAATAACTGCTACTATATAATGAAATTAATTAAGAAAAAAAGATTAATTAATGAAATGATAGAGAAAAATATTAAATTTATATATAAATTTTGATTTCATGTGTAGTTTGATACATGAATTTTAATTTGGTATAATTATATATAATTTTTTTATTATAGTTTAGATATAAATATAAGATTTTGATTTTGATTTTGATTTAATTATACGTATTTAAAGAAATAAATAACTATTTATTTTATATTGACCAGATTGGTTTTGACAGAAGATCATGTTTAGCAAAAGAAAAACTCGAAATCATTCTGGTTACCAAATTTCAGTATATGAAACTGAGTTTTGTATGAAACTTAATTTTGTATACTTGATTTATCTTGCAAATTGCAGTGTAATCTGTAAATCATGACAAAATTTGACAACTACTAATCTATCATTTACAATCAAAATGGCCTCTTCAGATGCTTGAAATTATCCATTGGATCAACACATTCCATTTTGTTTCTATGAAGATTCAACATTTTCAGCACTTCCGAAGCTTTCTCCTTGGTTTTCTCGGCACACCCGACCTGCAGAAGCAGCAATATCTTTTGAAAAGCGCCCACTTGAAGAGCTTCAAGTACAACACTTCCATGATCTTCCATTTCCCCCTTGCAAAGTTTCCACAATATAGAGACCGAAAGTTCAGTTGCCAAATCGGAGACTCTAAGGATTTTCTTAACTAAAACCGGCATGCTCAAGGCATTGTTGCAGGCCATTTGTCTCCCTTCCTCGCTGTTGCATATCCCATCGAGAACACCCAACGCCTTCTCGCATATGCTCCTTTCGGCGTCGACCGACGTCTCGAGTAGCAATGGCACCATGCCTAAATTCACTAGCTTTCTCACTTGTTTCTGTTTTGTTGATGATAATGTGATGATATGGTAAACGACGAGTAAAGCAGCTTTTGTAGAGGTAGGGCAAATTGGGTCTTTAATCAGCTTGAACAATGCTTCAATGGCACCTTCCGTCTCTGATAATTCCTTCACTTTTCTTCGATTGTCTGATGAAGACGATGAAACAAGCTCCTTTAACCCCAAAACTGCGTTTCTTCTTCTAGATAAGTCTCCACTGCTTAAAAACCATATCAAGCACTTCATGGCCGAGACTGATAAGAATCCCTTGGCCTCTACGTCGAGAGGGAACATTATTATCAAAGTTGACAGTATCTCCTCTAAAACATCAACGTTTTCATCGATAGAAAACGCCACGGAAAATGCTTGGAAAGCTCCGGATAGAACGCCGCCTGCCCCGTTAGTAACAATGCAACGCTTGTTACGTTCACTCTCTTTTGCTAAAGATTTGATCTTTAAAACCAAAATCCGACACCCTTTTCCGTCTTGTCTCTTACAGGAAACATTGATTTTGGAAAGAATGTCGGAGACCTCCATGGAAGTGATGGGAACTCGAGGCGTGGGGATTCTTTCGATCCCGTGGGATCGATTCTCAACGCACCAGTGTTGTATGCTTTTCCTTATGAAATGATTCGGAATCGGTTCGAGACTCCTCAAAACTTTATTGGTGAGAGGGCAAGTGAAATTCCCAGCTTCGACCCACTTCTCGATGCTCTCTCGATCATAGGTTATCCCTGTGGACAAAATGACCGGATCTTTCATCAAGTCTAGCGATATTGGGCACCTGAATTCTCTTGGAACCGTAAGCTCAATCTCCCCATTTTGATGTTCTGATTTCTCTTCACGCCTTGCAGCTCTTCTCCTTCTCCAGGAAGAAATCATCAATGGCTGGCTGGTTGTGTTCAAAGAGAGAATGTCGGTTTTTGATTTGGTGATTGAAGCCAGCAAACATATATGAGGAGGATTTGTTCAACGTTTAAGACCTGAAGAAAATTATCAAACTTTGAAAAGAAACATGGAACTTAAAATATATGAAAATGGCATGGCGTTATGAAGGTTTCAATGTTTGACCGTTGAATGGATGATAATTGAAAATGTAAAACGGAGAAAATAAGGAAAAAAAGAAACTTTGACCAAACACCCAAAACATCATAAAAGGCGCCGTCAATATAAGACTCGGTGAACTGACGGACTCCACCGCTCCGTCTCCGTATAGCCACGAGGAATTTTGTTTTTTTATTATTTAAATTTACTCTTCTTTTTCCATTTTCACATCTGCAGTGCCTAACTCATAGCAAGAAAATTTTCCATTCATGTTTATTTTACATAATAATATATACATCTACGCGTTTTAAATAAATTATTCTTATATAATTTTTTTTATAAAATTAATAAATAGGATAAAAATTATGTTATAAAATAATAAAAACATGGCATGTAAAAACCCTCGTTAACATCCAAATAAAACACAATAAAATGACAATGAAACTTTGATGGGATTATTTTAAATAGTTTTAAGTATTTAATTGGTAGGTACTTTTTTAAATAGTATGAGACTATTATAAGATAGTACATACTTAATCTATTGATAATGTAAATACTTTGCAGATGCAGTCAGAGATTGAAATAGTGATCGAATAATGAGATAGTGATAATTATATATTGGTAGTGGCGGTGTTTAGAACTGTTATTGTCAAAAATGATCGTGTGAAGCGAAATCACACCAATAGCAGTGGATCGCGATCACAATTTAATGGGGAATGATCATTTACAACAATAGGGTTACACTATTCTCGTTATTGTTTTATTGTCGTAAAAGTTCGTTGCGGCAATTAAAATTATTATATTTTAAATTATTAAAATAATTCACGATCGCAAATAGTATTCGTTATATATGCAACTATAATAAATGAAATGCCACAAAAAACGTAGCCACGACCACAATTTAAATGCACGGACGCAACTGCTCAAATCCGGATTATCTAGGGAAATCAACACTTCTTTTTATTCCCGAGACCAATAAATTCTGGTTGATATGTAAATTTAATATTTATTGAAAATGTTTAATTGTATGAGATATGATTGTGTGACTAAATAATAGTATAATAAAATCAATGTCCTCACTTTAAAAAGAAAGAAAAATAGTATTGTCAATTTGGAACTATTAATGATATTGTTAGAGTAAATTGATATCGTTGCTATTGAAACATATAAGGGAAGATAATTCGAACATGCTTAAACGTGAAATATGTTTCAATTTATGGGTGGAAATAGATCTAGACAGTTTAGGTATTATATCGAAGAAGAAAAAAACAGTGATTAAATATCAAATATCTGCATAGCAGAGGGATTAAAACCAAAATTATATCATTCAGAGATGGATCGAGGATGGCGGATGGGGACAATCGTCCCATGAAAATTTAAAATTATCATATATATATTTTTCATGTATTTTCTATTAAAAATAAGTTTTCTTCCTACGAAATTTTATAAATCTATTCCTCCTAAAACTTTAGAAATTCACTTTCTAGTATAAAATTTTACATATATTCTTGATATCATTAATTTACTTCTATTAACTATTGTAATCACTTAATGGATTCAGACGTATGACATTTTATAATAACAATGGATGGAGTAAACTAATCAAATGTTTTAGTATTAACGAAGTTCGAAATACAAATGAGGAGTTTGATGCTAACCCAATATAATAAATTAATAATTTATTAAATTAATAAATTTAATGTGTGACCCTCCATTTAAATACATCTTTTAAAAATATATTAGAAATTAAGTATTAAATTAATAAAGTATTATTGACAGATTCAAAAATTCAAAAATAAAGGTTCAAAATTTTAATACTCATTTTCTTTTTAACAAAATGAGTATGCAAATTTTTTTTTCTGTTTTCTTAATATATTGAACTAAATTTATATTTTATCTAAAATAATGAATACGAAACTAAGGTGGCGTTTGGTTCGCTTGAATGTTTATGAGGGAATTGGAATCTGTGAAGGAATTGGAATCTGTAGGAATTGGAATCCAATTCCATATTCTGTTTGGTTGGCAAGAAATGGAATTGGAATCTAATTCCATATTCTGTTTGGTTCGCAAACATGTTAGATGAATTTGATTTCAGTAATATAAAATGATAGAATTGTCCTTCTTGTTTTTTTTTTGCTTTATTTTAGTTAAATTTATAACTTACATGTAGTAATATATTATAAAAATTAAAAAATATTAAAATTTCAATTTATTGATTGATTATTCATTTCAATAAATTATAAAAATCATGCTAATAAACATTATAAGTTAAAATCATCGCAATCAAAATATGTTAAAAAATTACCAAAAGATAGAGCAATATTTCGATACATTCCAATCGGAGTATGTTAATTAGTTACAAAAAAAATATACCAAAAACTATTTTTATTCAATATATGAATTAGAAACTCGACCCGATACGACTCAAAATAATAAAAAAAATTATTTTTATTCAATAAAAACATTGACTTAATTGAAAAAAATTATATATGGAAGGGTATTATTGTAATTATTCCTAAATATATAAGGTAAAATTATATATTTTTTTCGGGTCAGTCCGATTTTTTTCACCCTAAACCCGAACCCGACCCGAATATCACACTTAAAATACCCGACCCGACCCGAACAAAATAAAGTTTCATCCGACCTGACCCGACCCGAATATATGAATTAGAAATCCGACCCGACCCGATCCGAAATAATAAAAAAATATTTTTATTTAATAAAAATAGTGACTTAATCCGACCCGACCCGAATTATATATATTTTTGGGTCGGTCCGGTTTTTTCACCCTGAACCCGACCCGATCCGACCCGAATATCACACTTAAAAAAACCCGACCCGACTCGACCCAAATATCACACTTAAAAAACCCGACCCGATCCGACCCGAATATCACACTTAAAAAAACCCGACCCGACTCGACCCAAATATCACACTTAAAAAACCCGACCCGAACCGAACAAAATAAAGTTTCATCCGACCCGACCCGAATATATAAATTAGAAATCCAACCCGACTCGACCCGAAATAATAAAAAATTATTTTTATTTAATAAAAACAGTGACTTAATCCGACCTGACCCGAATTATATATATTTTCGGGTCGGTTCGGTTTTTTTCACCCTAAACCCAAACCCGACCTGAATATCACACTTAAAAAAACCCGATCCGACCCGACCAAAATAAAGTTTCACCCGACCCAACCCGACCCGAATATATGAATTAGAAACCCAACCCGACCCGAAATAATAAAAAAAATATTTTTATTCAATATATGAATAAGTTACCAAAAGATTGATGAGGGTAGTATGGTTAAATTTCAATTCCCTCCAACAAGGAAATTGAATTCCATCCATTTTTTTTTTTATGGAATTCACTTTCCCTCGTTTGATGGAATTGAATTCCATCAGAGATTCCAATTCCCTTGAAAAACTTGAACCAAACATGGGAAAGTGGTGGAATTGGATTCCAATTCCCACCAATTCCAAGGGATTTCATACAACTATACGCCACCTAAGTGCATTTGCCTTATAAAATATGTTTTGAATTTTGAAAATGATTTATTTTGTAATCTTAAGCTTATAGATATGATGTTTTATATTGTTTTGGATAAAAATAAAAATATAATGATTTAAATATTTGAATTCTATAAAAAGAGAGAATATATTTGAAATATAATTTTGAAAATGAAATAAATTAATATTTTCAACATTAAATGATAAAAATGTTATCTAGGCGAAGTTATATGACTATGGGCTTTTTGTTCCAGTGCAACCATTCTGGTTTGAACCAGCTGATTTTTAGGCTGGGCTTCTTTTTCAGACTTTCGCAAAGCCTATAAATTTGTGAAAGTTGCACTATCGTAAAGTGATACGAGTAAGGTTGTAGAAGAGACAATATATATAGTAAACTACTTGATTCAAAAAATTCACGAGCAACTCGAAAAGTTAATATATTAATTTTTTAATTTTTTAATTAAATTATTAATAATGTTAACATATATATGTTATTTTTTAAAAAATACAGTATAAAATTTTTATATATTTAAAGTTTAAATTTGAGTTCGAGTTTCAATTGAGTGAAGTATGAGAATATTATTAATAGTTTTATCAAAGTTGTATTCTTGATTCAAATTTTTAATAAAGTTGTATTCTGATATAATTTTAATATATAATTGATCGTTTGAAATTCTTGAATTAAAACAAACCATATTGAAGAAACTTTGGAAAGAGAGAGAAAAATGAAAAGTGTCAACTTAAACCCAAATAAAGCAAATAGGGAACAAGACAATACAACTAAAATATAGACCCACACATCTTCACATGGAACTATCTTTCTTCTTTTTCTATCATAGCATGGGGCTATCTTAATCACATTTTATGCCCAACCTTTCTGTACTCTCCAAGCACTCATTTTTTAAAATCTATTCTCCTTCACATGTTTATCAATCTCTACATATAATATATAACTTATGATTGGATAAGTTTGAATCCTACCCTTGTAGTCTTTAGGGCACATATTGGGACATCCATTACCCCCTTGCTCGTGCTATTATATGCCTTCTAGTCTTTTAGAGATACCAAAACCAAATAATTTCATGGCCATGTCACAAACGGTCTCGTTTGATTAATTGACGGACTAATTAAGGGAGGAAAACTCGAGTCCACTAAAAAATTCGAATCTTTTTATTTGACTCGATGTGATAGAAATTTAACTCGACATGACTTGATTCGATTAAAAGAAAATTTCAAATTTGAGTTGAGTTGGAAAATAGAACTCGAATAACTAGAAATTTTTAATGATTAGTGGATTGATGTTTAAATTCGAGTCGAGTCTCTCAACTATACATGATATATGTGTATCACATATAAAAGAAAATATGAAGAAATATATATGTATATTTGTATATGATTATAGAAAATCGTTTAAATTGAAATAAAATTGTATCATGACATTATAAATATTTAAAATTAAAATTAAACATAAACCCAAACGAATCGACTCGACTTGAATTTAATAAACTCGACTCGTTCAAAAAAAATCAAATGAAGTTTTAGTTATAAAATAAGACTATTAAACTTGAATAACTAATTTTTTACTCGACTCGACTTAATTGTATACCCATCCCTACTTACAATTGATTATGATTAAGTTATGAAATCTTACCATATATGTATGATTTATATTTTCAGCTAGAACTAAAATAACGTCTTTTATCATCACACCATTAGTTCACGTGTAAATATATATTTTCGACTTTTGGAAAATTCAACTGTATCTATGTAAATAACCATGTTATTTTTTTAGTTAATTGCATTATATGTCTTCAAAACTCTTATTTTAAATTGGACTTTAAACTTTTATATATTTTAATTTCATCCTCAAACTATGACATTCATTTTAAATTAATCCTCAAACTTTTTGCGCATTCCAATTTCATCTCAAACTATATGTATATACTAATAACATCCCTTGTTAATAAAATCGTTATGTCAAGTTATATTATTATATGTTTGAAAAAAAATTAGGTTAAACTATGGTTAAAACTAAGTACATATTTGAATGAACTTAGGGATGAATTGGAATATTCAAAAGTTTGGGGATCGGTTTAGAAAGAGGGTCGTAGTTTAGAGATAAAATTAGAATATTCAAAAGTTTAAGGATTAATTTAATACGAGAGTCATAGTTTAGAGATATATAATATAATTAACTCTAATTTTTTTTGTTTCTTGTTAAAAATAACAAAGGCCGTAAAATTAAATAAAGCCAAACCGAGGCATAAAATGCGGCAAAATTAAGGGAGGATAAAAGGAGTTCGGAAAGAATAAAATATGAAATGTTGACTAATGAAGTCAAAATCACATTACAAATGACGGTCACGAAACCCGGTAATGGTAGATATCGTCGATGATTTGATGGAGGGAATGCGATGCAACCTACGACACGCGTAATGGTCACTGTCGGGAGAATATAATAATATTGTAGGTGGCACTTGTACAACAGCTGGCATGCAATTACACCGTGTAGACCAGACCACACCAAATCCACAACCACACCCTGTCTTAAACGTTGCATGTTCTCGAATGGGAACCAAAATGCAACTATCACACATTCATGGCCTTACAGTAACCTCTCAGATGTGTTGTTTTCCGACCCTACAAATTTTGATATGTCCCAAGTCAGTCGAGTTAATATTTTTCAAATTTAAATTCAAGTCGAATCAAATTAAATTTTTAAAATAAAATCGAATTATATATGTTTAGGTTTAACTTAAAAAAATCGGATCAACTTTCAGATTAAGTGAAATTTCAGATCAGGTGGATTCAACCTGACTCAATCCATGGTCATGACTAGTTATTTGCCTGCTCCCATTGACGTGTCTCAATATCTCACATCATCTCTTCAGCTAAAACTTATGAAATATAGGGTGTTTCGAATTATCTTCACACGCACACGCACAAAACTTGGTTGTATTGAGTAAATTGGATTAGATTTTGATGGGAGTTGGTTGACTTATCCAATTAAATTCATCACAAGGAGGGACCCCTTCTCTACTGTAGCTGATTGCTTACACTTTGCATTTTAACTATAATTAAATCAAACTATAGATAAAATCGGCCTTTTCTTGGTTGCATTTGGAAACTTCTATCGAGATCAGAGAATTTTAAACTGTTTAAACTTACAAAGATAAACCGAGGGGGAGAACGATATAATCTCCTACAAACTATAGGTTTAGAGAGCAATATCTTACAATGAGTGGAAGGAAGAACAAACCCGAACGCTTCAGAAGTATCCATCGACGCTCGAACTTCCCTTGTTCTACATGTCTTTTATCGAGCATCTGCGGATGCGAATGAATCTGCAAACCCGGATGGCCGGCACGGGATGCTTGTCTGTGTAGAGTCTGTACTGGCCAGAAACGATATAGAGTCGTCCAGATTGCTGTTTCCTTCGAATGCTTGCCATTTTTTCAAGGCTTGTGGTAAAGTCAAATCAAGGTCGATGCCGTATAGGTCATCTGAATCGGGTTCAGCAGGTTTCCAGAGCTCTGCTAGTGATGATAGTACGTTGACAGCATGACTCATATCCGGTCTTTGGTAGGGCTCCCTAGCACAACAGTGGCCGGCCAACTCTGACACTGTGCTAATGCTTGCAAGTGTTTCCTCATCGAGCTGAATGGTTTCGTCGATGGCTTTTCGGAATGTGTCCTTGTTTATATGCATCCTACGGAACCATGTCACAAGATGCAAACTCTCCTCAGGCTGCGTTTCGTCAAGTGCCCTCCGGCCCGAGATCAATTCCATGAGGATCACACCGAAGCTAAAGACATCCACCTTTGTGGTCACTCGTCCGGTGACTGCGTACCACAAGAAATTTTAGTTCTAATACTGAAACTTATAAATGAAGACACTGTATTTACATTTGCTATAGTGAAACGAGGCATTTGTAATAAGAAATGATGAAAAACTAAAGCCAATTACCTGCATACTCTGGTGCCAAATACCCAAATGTTCCTGCGAGTCTTGTTTCAATCGACTGTTTACCATCAACGGGAGCTAGACGAACCAAGCCAAAATCTGCAACTTTGGCACGCATATCATCTCCAAGAAGAATATTAGACGGCTTAAGATCTCGATGAATGAAACTCTGTTGTGCTAGACCATGTAGATATTCGACACCTCGAGCCACATCCAGTGCAATTGTAAGTCGTCTCATCCATTCAAGTGGTTGCAACCCTTCATCCTCCCAGTTGAATAGGTGCCTGCTAAGGGTCCCTTGAGGCATGTATTCATAAACAAGAAGCCTCTCATTTCCATCCAAGCAATATCCAAGGAGTGCCACCAAATTGCGATGTCGAACCTTAGTAAGAACCGCAATCTCGGACTTGAACTCTGCCAAACCCTTCTCAGTCACAACACCAGACTCCATTCTTTTCACTGCAATCTTTGTCCCATCATGTAATTCCCCTTTGTAAACTGTTCCAAAACCACCTCTTCCTAACACATTTTGCTCACTAAAATTATTCGTCACAGTCTTCAAAACTTGAATGGAGATCACCATGTTACCAGCCTCAACCAAATGAACATCACCAGGGGCACTGCTTGTGTGGCTGAAAGTCTCATTCCCACCTGCAACACTCGATCCAGCAACAGTCACCTTAACTCCATCTTGATCACCGGAATGATGCGGATGTATAACTACAGTGGTTGGACTCTGTACCCTACTCCTATGCTTTCTTTTTCTAGTATACAAACATATACCCAGAACAAGAAGACTCAAGCCACCAACAGCACCAACGACCGAACCCACAACCACTCCGGTATTAGGTTTCTTTTGACCATTCCCAGAAGAACCACCACCACTGGAAGATCCACCAGAGGATCTGCCATTTGGTGTAGGAACCGGATCTTTTCCGATATCAGGATTACCATCTATAACCAAATGAATGTTATGCCTAAAGGGAGGTATTTTCCCATAGAACCTATTGTTCGAAACATCTAACCGTGTGAGCTTTGACAATGTAGTGAGCTCTATCGGTATTCTTCCAGTAAGATTATTACCAGAAAGATCCAAGGTTGTCAATGAAGTAAGCTTAGAAAAATTACCAGAAATTGTACCAGTAAGCCCCTTGTTTCGGAAATTAACAGATACAATTTCCCTCCCAGCACATGCAATACCAAGCCAATCATTACAAGGATCATTCCCTTCCCAATTATCAGCAAAAATCACTGGATAACCTACAGCTTCAATTATAGATAACAATATATTAACACGCTCATCACAAGGACTACCAGGTTCATCCAAGCAAAACCTATTACTGCCAGGCTTCGCATCCACAATTACATTATAACCAAATTTAGGGGTTGGCCCTTGAAGCTTATTATTAGTCAAATTCACCAAATGAAGAGACTCTAAATTAAGCAAAGACAAAGGAACAACACCGGTGAACTGACTATCTCTCACACTCAAATTGGCCAACTGTGTTAGATTTGAAAAATCAGGTAAAGGGCCTACAAACTGGTTCCCATGCAACCATACCTCAGTCAAAGAAGGCATGTTTTGTATCACTTCAATAGTCCCGTTCAAACTCTGCCCATTAACCCACAAAGACTGAATCATAGTTCCACCAAGTTCAGCAGGCAATCCTCCTTCAAGTTTGTTCATAGCTAAATGCAGTTTTGCCAAGGATGGAAAAGTGGTACTGTCAAAAAAAATTGGAAATCGACCTTGGATATTAGCTCCGTTTGCAGAGAAAGTTCTCAAAGAAGTTGCTTCCTTTATGCTCTGGGGAATCTCCCAAGGTTCGAATTTGTTGTAGTCAAGAACAATCGAAGTCAATGAAGTCAAGCCAGTGAAGTAATCTGGAGGGAAAGATGAGAAATTGTTGGTGTGAAAGTTGGCCACTTCCAGCTGACTTAATCCAGCAAGGCTCGGGATTGCTCCGGTGATTTGGTTGTTCATAACTTCAAAGGTGGTAAGCTCAGACAGGTTCTTGAGATCAGGAGGAAGGGTTCCACCAACACTTTGGCTTGGTATTTGGATCCTGGTGACCCTGCTGTTTTCGCAAGCAACGTGAGCCCAGTTGCACGGGTCAGGGTCAGACCAGTCTAGAGAAGATGGGATCTTCAGGCTTGTTTTCAGCTTTTCCATGACTGAAACATCAGGACTGGGTTGAGAAGAGACATGTGAAGTGAAGAAGCAAAGGGCTGAAAGAAACCCAAAAAGAAGACAACCCAAGAAACGAGGTTTCTTCATTGTTCCTCTGGGGAGAAGTGAGCGAGAAAGTGGGGGAATTTGAAAGGAAAGTTGCAGACTTTATGTTCCTTTTGGCTAAATGGTTGGGGATGTAAAAGGGGTAAGAGAGAAATAGAAAGATAAACGAAGGAAGAAGGAGAGGTGATTGAGAGACGGAGTTGTCTCAGGACAGAAGAAGATGCCTTGAGAGACTAAAACGGCGGGGACAGAGGAAGATAGAAAAAAAAAAACAGGGGCCAAAATAAAGATAATTACTTTATTATATGTTAGTAAGTACTGTTTGGTTCCTAAGAAAATGAGAGAAAAAAAGTAGTTGGCACATGCAGATTGGTCCTACCATTTTTCTTAAAAGGTCTAGAATAGTGTAATTGTAATTTGTATTTGTGAGCAGTCCGTATTCTCCCTTTGAAAGAGATATCTCCGAATTTTAATAAATGAATACTTATATCAATTAAAAATACTTTTAATTTTTACTAATCAATAATTTCTTGCCTTAATCCAGTTGCTTGATGATATATTGTCTTCATTGAGACTGTTAATGTCCTTTCATTTTATTCAGTTATTTCAATAAATGTCATTAGTTATAAATTACTTATAAAGACCGAACTTCCCAGTTTAATTAATTAATACTTAAACACTGTTTAATCATTTTAAACACAATAACTTGATTCTATTGTATTTTCTTTAAATATGGCCGTAAATCATTTGGTCATGTGCAGAGATGGATCAAGAGAGGGACGAGTGAGACAGTGAGCCTTTTAAAATTTTAATTTCTTATATATTTAAGATATATTTTTATATTTTTTATTAAAAATAGATTTTTATCTTATAAGATTTTATAAATTCACCTTTTACGAATGTCCTAAGTGATAATAATTAAATAAAGGTAAGTAGTATAAATCAGTGACAGATCTAGAAATTAAAAAATAAGGGTCCAAAATTATGATACCCTATTCTAAAACATAAAGGATGTGCAACACTCCCCTAGGTAGTCATGTACATCCGCCCTGGTACGAGTGCTTATTACTACTCCGTCACTTAAATCATTTCTATGAGCATATTATATTTGCTAATTGTTTGTGCTAAGCATTTTTGTAAACCCTACTGGTTACTGGCACTTAAATCACAGTACATTTTTGTTTTTTATAAATATTAAATCATAGAACTAGTCAAACAAATCCCGACAGTTTATGAGACCTATATTATTTTTCTTCTTCCAATAATTAGCTTTAGCAAATTGGATAATCTTAAATTAAATTAATATATAAAGGACCACTTACCCTAAACTATTTGGGCCGAAAGTTTAAGCCTCAAGTAATGCAAAGCCTTTGGGGTTTTAGTTAGGGTTCTTTTGGGTGTTAAATTCCCTACTAACAAATTTATAGGAATAAGGGATACATATAAATTTGTTTAGTAAGCATCACAATTAACGTAATTTAAATGTTTTATAATCTAACTTAATTATAAATTAAGGGTCCGTTTGGTTCTAGGAAAATATATTTTATTTTTATTTTTTTAGAAAATAGAACATGTTGAAGGAAATGTGTTTAGTTGTGAAATTAGAAAATGATTTCTGAAAAATGAAAATAATAATAAGTGAAAATATGAAGAAAAGAAATATTTTCAGTATTTTCATTAGAATTGTTTTGTAAATTTAAAAATAAGAAATCTAGATTTTTAAATTAATTTACAAGAGTTCAAATCTTTCTAATAATATTTTTTTGACTTAATGGTATTTGAAACTCTCAAACTTTTGTAAAAAAAAAAAAAACCAATGTGATCCTTGAACTCTTTTTACAATTAATGTGATCTTTAAATTGATTTTTTTAATAATTTATTTTGTAATATTTTTATATTTAATATATTGAATAACTTAATAATTATTTATATTTTATATTTAAATAAATATCTTAATATTTTTTAAAAATAAATAAGTCCTCAAACTTTCTAAAAAATCAATTATGTCCTCAAACTTAGTCATAAAATTAATTAAGATTATCTATCACATCATCATCCATAGTGTACTTACACAATAGTATAACGAATTATCACATCAACATTGTAGATTGTCATATAAGTTTCATGAACTATCATGTAAGCATCGAGATGATCAACGTTTGATTTCATTTGTGAAATATTTATATTGATTTTTTTCTCAGTTTAAGGGTCACATTGAGTGAAAAAAATGTTCAGGGGCTACATTAGTTTTTCCCCAAAAGTTTAAGGGCATCAATTACCGCTAAACATATTTTTTATTTTAATGACACTTATGTGTGCTCTTACTTACAACAATATTTTTTGTATTTTTTAAAATAATTGATGTATAATATACATCAGTGTTATATTCTTATTATAAACTAGAGTACTTTTATGTTATGAATTTTTTTTATAAACTTTATTGTTTTATATTTGCATAATTCACGTGTCAAATTTATGTAATGAATTTTTTAAATAATTATAGTTTAATTTAATTACTTAATAATTATTTATTTATTTTATTTTAAAATATTAAATACCAAATACATTTTCACTATTTTATTTTTGGATTCAAGTTTTCATTTATATTAATCAAATATGTTTTTTAATTTTTAAAAATCTAGAAATAAAAATTATTTTCTGAAAACAAAAATAAAATATAAAAATTTTTAAAAAAAATTATAGAATCAAACCAACCTTAAGTTTTTAGTAACTATATAAATAAAATTAATTACGATTAGAATATTTACATTTGATTGTTTTTATTTGATTTGTATATTTTTTACTTACAATGATAATTTCTCTCACACACACATTAATTTTAAATGAAAATTTTATTTAAATTAATCTTTAGTTTTAAGAAAATAAAAAATAAAAAATACTAAAAGATATTATAAAATTAAGAAAAAAATATAAAATAAAAATTGAAACAATTATAAAATAAGTAACAATTATTATAAATGATACTGTTATTTTTAGTTTCAGAGACCAAATATTAAAACTTAATAACATTAAAAGGGAAAAAAAAGGTACACGATGAAATTATTAAAATTATTTTACAAAGTTGCACACAAACCACTCACATTGCAGGACTATCGCATGATACGATAAATATATATTCTGGTATTTGAATTTAATTTTAAGATATAATTTGATATTTTATTTTTTTATTTAATTATATATTTGAACTTGATTTTAAAGTTTATTTTGGTATTTCAATTTTTGTAGCCCAATCAGATACCTAAACTTCTTTTTAAGGTTCAAATTGATACTTAAACTGGTTTCATAATTAAAATAAACCATTTATTGTAACTATCAATTTAGATAAAAAAAATAAAATTTGAGAATCAATTTGAACCAACAAGTAAAATTTAAGTACCTAATTGAACCAAAAAAGTTATACACTAAATTGAACCTTAAAATCAAATTCTAATACATAACTGAATAAAAAATTAAAATATCAAATTACACCTTAAAATCAAATTTAAATATCAAAATATATATTTATCCTATCATATTATACAACAATATTTATTTTTCAAATCAGCACAACATTATTTTATAGTATCTCCACAATATACTCCTTGGAGTTCTAATTTTATTCCGTACTGTATATATATATAATGACCTTACTTGGATTATCATTCATCTACATTTAGCTTAGATTATTGAAGTTGGTGACAAGATCATGCACATATTGTCTTCCAATACCAATCCGAACTAAGTATCCCCCACCTGATTCTTCAAGATTTACCATTAAGAAAGCAGTTTCCGGCACCGGAGTAGTTAAGATAGCGGCGTTTGAAACCTTTCCCCATCCAAAATCGAGATCGTGGAAAGGAAATCTTGACCAATCGGATACAATGGTCAGTTGTAACATCGAGGGGAAAAACTTGTCTGAGGCCTCAAGAGCCATTGCATACAATTTGATATATTCATCACTGATCTCATCTTTAGCTGATTGGATTCTTCGGATTGTGTCATGCAAAGGTTGCTCTAACAGGTTTTTGACTGAACATGAAACCGAGGCAAGAACAAAGGCATTACCGGTGAAGTTGTTACCAAGCGGAGGTCGAAGCCGGCTCCTAGAGTCGACCGGGAACTGAAGACAGATGTTTGTGTTTGCATCTAAATTCAGAGTCTTCACTCTTGCCTGGACGTTTTATCAGTGCTTTAACATGAATTCATGTATACAATGAGAACTTTCTACATAGAACCCTAATTTTTTTAGAAAACCTAGGTCTAGTTAACTCACACACAAATTTGCTTAAATCTAAGTCACTTAGAGAGAACAAACACTCCCTTTTATTATTGAGACCACTATGTGAATTCAAGAACCCTAAATTATATACGCAAATAAGTAAAGCATATATAAAAAATCTTAAACTGCTCACCTTCCACAAATGGGCACATAAAACATCAAACGTAGAGCACTTGAGGAGGTTGCCCCTTTCAATTGCTTGTGCTTTCAATATCTCCACTGTTTCCTTGCCGATGGCTAGAGTAACCAGTTCCAGTCCAGCCTGAGGATCAGCCTGGCTGAATTTGGCCAAGGCAGTTCCCCAGAACCTGTCATCTGAGGCCTTGGCTTCCATTGGTATTCCATACAGATCTTGAATAGCTGTAATGTGGTTTTGTTCGTATATTGAAGCATGTGCAGGGCTTAAATGGTGAGAATAGATGGAACTTAGCAAAGCATCTCTTGAATGGTTGGGCACAATGAGTTCGGACTCAGGTTTCCCATTTGATATGTGAGCCCAAGATGATAGAAAGTTGAATGCTCCTATTCCATCGAACAAAGCATGGCTACCACCAAAGCCTAGAGCTAAACCTCCACATGCAAACCTTGTTATCTGCAAAATTTGATTCAGGTATCGTCAATTTTATGACTTTAAAAGTCACTAATAAGTAATAAGAGACCTGAAAGAGAAGGATGATGGTTAAAGATAGGCAAAATGGCATATGAAATAGAACAAGCAAGTGGTATATGTCTAGGGTTAGGGTTTCCCATACTTCTCAAGTAGAATTTAAAACAAGTCCAACCATGGTCTAATTATTGGTAAACAAATATGTTTTCATTTATACATGCATGAATCTATACTCATTTCTTGTTTGTTGTATAAGAGCAGAAGCTGAATATTATAAGGTGCATGGTATAACATATTACCTGAGCAACTGCAATTGGATTTTCCGCGATATCAGTGGTAAAAGGGAGCTTAGGAACCAGGTTTTCATAGCAAGCCTTGTATTCATGCAGCCTTCCCAGCTCCTCAAGCTTGGAATCAGTAACGGCGGTCACGAGTAAAACTCCTTGGTTGTTGCAGTCAATTTCCAGCTTCCCCGATCCTTCATTGATTCTAAACCTTCCTGCAACTGGATACCAAGGAACCAGCACTTTCGCAAGAGCTTCTTTGGCTCTCCCAAAAGGATCATCTTCTTCCTTTATAAACGATTGATCACCAACTTCATAAAATAAAACAGAGTAGAGAATGGCAGGAGATATCCTGTCAAAACCAGAGAGTTGAATTGTTTGTCTTTTAAACGGCTTGAGAGGTTTCAAAACTATCTTCTCCTGAACAGATTGCTTTATCTCCATTTGCTTAATACTATGGAATAATGATCAAGTTTAATGAAAGTTGCAGAGATTATGAAAGGTGTCTCTAGTTCATACAAAATGAGGGAACACCCTAGGGTTATATAATATCGAATGCTGGGGGTCAACTTAAAAAGAAATCCTTCAAATAAGCAGGTAAAGACAAGTCTTTTGAAGAGTGGGATGAGATCATTTCTAATTAAAAGCTTTTTAGGGAAAAATTTTATATGCAGCCCAGTACCAAATTGCTACCTAAAAAGTACATTAACAAGAGACAAATCTTTTTCTAAGTAGCCATAAGATATATATATATATATATATATATAAAGGTAAATGGAAGTGTGTTATATATATGGACTGTGATTAGGCAAAGCCAATCGGAAACGATGAAGATTGTGTTTTTTTATTTGCAAAATTATGAATTTTTGTCACTTTCCCTGTGCATGCAATTGCTTTAACCTAACCCCAAGTTACTAATCATTTATGTTCTAATATGCTTTAACCTAATACGTATTCATAATAGTAGACCGGGTTAAATATACGTAATAACAATTGTATATTTGTAGACAAAGAAATTTTCAGACATTGAATTCAATATAGTACATATGTTAAACGTATAATTATTTTTCTTTTCTTTTTTTTTTTTAAAAAAACGTCAATAACCAGGTGATGCTTTTATAGACAAAGAAGTACAAGTCCTGCTTGATCAAGGGCTGAGTTCTTTAATTGCGTAAGGATTCTAGCCGAATTAAAAAAATCTGATCAAAATATGTATCAGGAATTTTAGCTGGATGAGACTTTTAAAGTCGCAATACTACATGGATTAATATAAAAGAGAAAGAATACATGCAATGTCCAAGATGCGGTGAAAAAACATGTAAATGGAATTTGAACAAGGATTCAAGTATTGAAGGATGAACTAAAGGGGGAATAAATGCAGTCTTTCGTTTTTTGAAATTTTCAAATTTTCTTATATTTTATATTTTTTTTTCTGTTTATTGATAATCTATTTTCGTCCATTGAAATTTTATAAATTTATTCTCTAACATAAAATTTTAAATACATCCCTAGGAATATTTATCGTCTTAGTATTAGTACTGCCCTATCGAGTCCAACAAGGAATTTCAAGGCATTACGTACAAAGTTGGTGTATCGTGCAAGTTTTCAGCCGTGACCTAAAGCTCAAAATTTTGTTGAATTACTTAAATTTCATCCCGTCACTCTTTGGTGAATACATTTCATGTATATATATTCTTACTACTATTAGCAAATTGATGAAACAGATGAAAATTCTGGGTTTTATTTGTTTATTTCTATATATATATATATATATATATATTATATATGTTGTACGATTCATATTCGAATATTACAATTGTGTCTCATGATGTTATCTTGATGTTGAAAAACCTAATATATTTTTTGGTATAACCAACTTTATCTAATCTATTAATCGATTAATCCGAATCGGATCCTACAGAGACGAAAATGACTCTCTCAATTTAGTTTGTTTCATTCGTAAATATCAAAATTCGAACCTTTAACTTACTTAATGGACCTAATATATACATCATAATTCTTAAGGAACCTCTAATCGGGTATTAAAAAAAAAAGATGTTTTCTATTTATTTTTAAACTCAAGTTTGTATGATCTGATTTTTATTATTATTTAATTAATAAAATATGTTTATTTGAATTTAATATGTTTGGTCGACTATGATCATAATTCTTAGGCATATACAATTTGTTCTGATCTTTATCTCAAGAGTTTCATCAATGTGTAAATATGGAAGAAATTGGTATCATGTAGGATGTTTAATCGGTTGATTCAATCATTAACCAAACAAAATTAAATAAAATTGAATTGATCAAATTTTCTTCGCTATTAACCGAATAACAAATTAAAATTATTAATTAAACTTGACAAAGTTTAATTAATTCGATCAATTTTTAAAATGACCAAAAAAATTTATAAGTTCTTTTATTTAGATTATTTTTTATTTAATAGAAGTATCCTCTTCATTTGGATTAAAATTTGATTTGGGCTAATTCCGTCTTGAAAATTTAATGAGACTAGTACAATTAAAAATAGTTGGGTTTTGATTCTTAATGATTTAAACTTAAAATATATGTCTAATATATATAATATATTAAATATTTTATATTTTTTTGAAAGAGAGTTTTATACGGTATTATTAAGTGATACATATAAAACAAGGCATAAACATGAACCTCGTTAAAAAATCTATCTAATCCTAATGGAAGAAAAAGAGTGTACTATGTCTATCGAATAACAATTAAATTCAAAAGACCTTCCACAGAGAGGCCAATCAAAAGACCTTCCACAGAGAGGCCAACAGCAATTCCAGCACATCCAAGTTGCTGACACAACCGGGCAAGAACAACCCACTCACAAGACAAAGATACACAAAAGAGATAAACTACACATAACTCATACATCAAACCCAAGCTGTATGCTATCAGATTCACGACTAAAGGCGCTAGCTTTAACCAGAATTGGATGCCAGAAGGAAACCATTGACCAACAACAGTAACCGACCAAGACGAGCTATATTCCTGATGCTGTCAGCATTGTACCGTACTGAATTAATTAACTAATTTCAAACTGAATTAATCGATAACTAAATTTTAGAAAAAAATTAAATCTTTAATTAATCTAACACTTAATTGTTCGATCAATTAGTCGAATTAAATTTTAATTTGATCGATAAAATTAAACAATGAATACCGTAATCTGATAAAATCATCGTTTATTGTCAATTACAACTCTGTTTTTGAGAAGGCCGGTGATAAAGATGAATAAAGTACAACCTTTTAGGTGTAAATGTTGGATTGTTAGTGGATCATATGAATGGCTTTAGGCATATATGAACGACATGTTTTTGCGGAAAACCTGCATCTGGTCTCTCTCTCCTTCATGTCCTTGTCTTGTTTTCTGCTTTATCAAAGCAAATTCCTTTTCCCTTTTTTATGGAATTTTACAAAAGCAATCAATACCTTAATTTTTAGGTCAAATTCTATAGTGGACTATTGCAAAGAATCAATAAGCAAATATAAAAACGTATTAATAAAAACATGAAATTTATGTTTCATAACGACAATATTGATATAATTTTATTTTAATTGGGATGTATTAAAGTATAACCATTCATACAGAGCAGCGACCACTTAATTCTCATATTTGAAAACTCAATATCAAAGTCTTTACAAAAAAACAAGATATATATATGCAGATGAAAGATTAAGTCTTTGGAGGAATTCAGATTAAAACCTTTGAATCCATACCCTTGTAATGATCTATATAAACAGATGGGCATGGAGTCCCTGTGGTAGCATACAACTACTCAAATTCTAATCAAGTTAAACTCGAGTTGGTTAGGATCAATCGTCGGAACATGCTTTCGGTGCAGTCAACAATCCACTCAAATCCAAGCTAACCTTAATCATGGACTGTTTCATGTTTGCAGAAACCAAAATGCACCCATAGGATGGGGAGAAATTCCTGGAGAAAGTCCAACCTGCATATATTTCTCCAGTTCTGTTTTCTGTGTTTCCGAAGAGGGCGAAGTTGTAGCTACGATCATGAATTGGGGTTGGATTTGAAGAACTTTGCAACAGCCTGATAGAGATTTTCCTCGAAGGGCTTCGAGACGTATCCATCCATCCCGCATTTCAGGCACTCATCGGAGGTGGCATGAATAACATCAGCTGTCATGGCTAATATCGGGATATGCCACTCTTCCTTGCTGGCAGAATCTTCTTTGATGCTTCCATTCATCTGTTCGTTCGCCTGACTCTCCATCATTCGAATTCGACGAGTTACCTCAAACCTGAAAATAACAATTCATGATTGATATTCAATTTTATAATAGTAGGATGTAAATCAGGTTTATTGAACAGAAACAAATTATCAGAAACGAACCATATGGCACTAATATCGGTCTCGATAGCCATAATAGGTGCAAATACATGTAGAGATAAAAGTAGAACAGAGAAGGGATGACAAATGCATGGAAAAGCATTATACATACCCATCCATTTCTGGCATCTGAATGTCCATGAAGCATGCATCGAAACAGTGTGGAAGCTGAAGTAATTTCAGTGCAGCTTTTCCACTTTCAGCACATTCTACAGAAGCTCCAAACTTCTTCAATGCACCAGCAACAACTCGACGATTAACCATATTGTCATCGACGACTAATATTTTCTTTCCACAGAGTAGACTCTGAAGGACTGGAGATCCATTCAACATGTGTTTTCCAGGCTGCCTCTTCTTCCCTATCCCCAAAACCTGTTGGAGACAAGCAGCCACCATACTTGCCCTCATCGGTTTCATAATCACAGTATCTGTTGGAAACCCGCTTTCTCAAGTTCCACATTTGTAATATTTGTTGCAAGTAGAATCACCTTAGGCAACTTCAACACATGTCCATTTTGTTTCCCATCGAACATTTGTAAGCTGAAACCACCATCCTCTTCAGAAAGCCATAAATCTTTCTCAACAAGAATTATATCCGGCTGGATTTTACTTCTGCAATATTCAACAAAGCAACCATACAGAGTTAAACCTTTATAAGAAGGATATACCAGTTCCACCGTAAATTCTCGAGGTTGAACTATATTCCTGCATGAATGGCATGAAAACTCGGTCCTGTGCGGTTAAAAGGATCCCAATGCCAGTATCCTCCACAGATACCATCAAAGTGACACCCCCAGAAGCTTCGTCAGCAACTTCCATGTTTATTGAGGCATCATATCGTGACTCTTCTTCAATGACTAAATGCTTAAAGTAATCCCAACTGTTCTGCTCATCAGCTGCTTCATAGCCGCTCAAGGTTTTAAAATGGCTTGCACCTGTTATCAGCACACCTTCATCTGGACCTCCATTCAAATGATTTTCGGATTTTGCCTCTGTCACGGGCTTCTTGTTTTCAGCTAGGAGAACTTTAACAAATATGTGTCCCCGCTCTGTGAACTGTCAA